TCTTTTAAAATAATTTTTAATTCCCTAAATATTTACCAAGGAACTTTTCAGTGCCAGGCACTGTGTTGGAATATAACTATGAATGAAGCAGGTATGGCCTCTCCGTCTTCTGTTGAAGGAAGCAAACAGACACTCAGTGGCGAGTGTGATGTAAATGTGAATCTGGGCCACTGTGAGACCACATCCTGGAGAGCTAACCTATTTGGGGCAGGTGGTAGTACTGAGGAAAGCTTCTGAAGAAGTGACACTGAAGGATATATAAAATCCTATTGTGTATTTTAAACTATATAAAGAATGAGGAACAGGGTTTGAGGCACCAGGAACAGCATGTGAGGACCTAAGAGAAGATGGCACAGTGCCAGGAAGAGTAGGGCAATGAAGATGAGACAAGAGGAGGAGGACCTACTGCAAGTCAAGGGAAGGATGTCAGACTTTTGCTCAAGGCAGATATGAAACCATTGAAGGGTTTAAGCAGAAAAGTGACCCAGTTTTAGATTTAAAGATCACTTTTTTTTTTTAAGATTTTTTATTTATTTATTTAGTTAGTTAGTTCTCAGCAGACACAACATCTTTGTTTGTATGTGGTGCTGAGGATCGAACCCGGGCTGCACGCATGCCAGGTGAGCGTGCTGCCGCTTGAGCCACATCCCCAGCCCTAAAGATCACTTTTGTTGCTGTGGAGATCAGAAGACTGAAGGGCCACTTATGGTAAAAGGAGTCGAGACCTGATAATGGACTGTGATGTGGGGAATTGGAAGGAAAAGAAGAAACAAACAGAACTCCTCCTAAGTTTCTGAATTGAGAAACCCATTCACTGAGAAAGAGAATACTGAAGGAGCAGAGGGGTAGGAAGATTAGGACTGATTGGCTAGTTCAGTGTTGGAAGCACCTGCAGGATACCTGAGAGGAGATGCCCAGGGGTCAGTTGTACTCATGGCTAGAGATCCCAAGAAAGAAGTCTTTGCACATAAACAGTAAATGACCCAACAACCTATTAGCATGTTTCATGGTACATTTGTTCTTTTTATATCATTTTCATTTGCTTTTTTGTCCTTTAGCTGTTGTAGTAATTAATCCTGTTAACTATATTCAACAGATGGTTTCTCTTCTAATACTGACCAACACTTAAAAAAAAAAAAAATCACTTTGTTGATTACCTTGAATTTCACCTTCCATAAGTAAACACCAAATTCTGTTAAAGCAGACTTTGAGACTGCCAATTTTTTTAATGCATATATGAAAATTTTAGGTCTGAGTACAATCCAAACTCCCTCATTATGCCTATATGTTTGTGAGATTCACAAGATTTAATAGTTGGCTGGTTGTAGTTCTAGCCCTAGAATTCAGGACTCTGCTTACTGGGCCATCTTATTTTACTACCTTTGACTGTTTCTCTTCCTATTGAAAACCTGTTGGCTTCAGAGTTCTTCATGCTCATGATTTGTTTCTTATGAGACATGGAACAGTAACTGCCTTGTTTCATCTTAGAATCCTGAAGCCTGGAAATATGTTTTCATAGAAAATTTATATTAATGATAATAAATTTCCGAAGCAGAATTGGGACTGTAGCTCAGTGTTAAGAGCTCTAGTCTATGCACATAGGCAATATTTTATATGCTGTTTCAGGAACTTCATAGACTCCAAGTTAAAGAACTTGTGTTATATAATTTGGGATACTCTCAAGGACATGTGAACCAGTTTTTCTAGAAAAAAAGTACAAGATTGTCCTAATTTCTTGAAGGATTAGTTCAGTTGACTTCACAGGTGCCTTTCAGACAGTCCCTGTCTGCTGATCCATTAGTCACCATTGACTAATATCCATGTCGGTGACACACACTCAGGAAGTTTTAAAGGCGTCTGGGTGGTACTGAATTGGATAGTCAGAAATCTGCTAATTCTTAATAGAAATTTTATATCTTAAATTTTATATCTTAACATTCTTGAAATTAGCAGCTCTATGAGAGGCCTGGTTTTTGTTGTTGCTGTTTTTTATGCTAATCTATTTTTGATGTCTCTGATTAAAAATAAAAGGGAAGAGGAGATAGAAACCACCATTTTTACTTTCAACCCCTCCAAAGGTTAAGAAACAGATGCAGGAATTGTAGTATATAGAGAAGGGCAAAGGCCTTAACCCTGACACCCGCTGTGGGTGTATTATGTTGAACATGGAAACTCACTCCCTCTGGTACGGGTTTCTCTCAGCCTCCACCTCCACTCATCTCATTCTCATCTGTCTCTGGGTTGGATCAAACCCAGGGATGCTTTACCATTGAGCCACATCCCCAGCCCTTTTTTATTTTTTATTTTGAGACGGGGTTTTGCTAAGTTGCTGAAGCTGGCTTTGAACTCATTATCCTCCTACCTCAGCCTCACAAACTGCTGGGATTACAAGGGTGCACCACCATGCCTGGCCCCCACTTATCTCTTTAGTGTGTGGAAATTACTCCCAGACTTTGAACCCTTCTGCTCAGAATGATTTTTTAGCTAATCAAGATCACCTGCTTTTCCTTATTCACAAGTTTCTTTAAAATTCTGTTTCTTCAGAGAGGCTTCTGTTGACAAATTACAACTTTTTTTTTTTTTTTGGTATTTTTGGTTTTTTTGTGGGTTTTGTTTGTTTGTTTGTTTGCTTGTTTTTAAACTGGGGATTGATCCTAGATCTGAACCACATTCCCAAGTTCTTTTTATTTTTCATTTTGAGATAGGGTCTTGTTAAGTTGCTTAGGCCCTCGATAAGTTGCTGAGGCTGGGTTTGAACTTGTGATCCTCCTGCCTCAGCCTCCTAAGTTGCTGAGATTACAGGCATGCGCCACCATGCCTGGCTTGGTACATTTCTTGTATCACTATCTAAATTATATCTTTTATATGTCCTTCTACCTCCCTAGAATGAAAGCTTCATGTGAGCAGGGAGCTTATTAATCTTATTCACAACTATATTTCTGTTATCCAGGGTCCTGCCGGTGCTGGCTACTGGCAGGTGCATAGTAAATCTTTGAATGACTCAGTGAATGAATATCTCCCCTCTAAAACTCCTCAAGGACAGGAACCATGCTTGTTCTCCTTACAGCTTGTGGCAGCACACATGCACTTTTATTAAAGTATGGTTTGGGCCCTCTTAAGCTCACTGCCTTACCATATCCATCTACTTTAGAACAATCTATGGTTTCCACAGAAGCCACCTAGAACTTTCAGTGTTCTAGATAATTTGGGCAGTAGAAAACACTTTTTTTTTTTTTTTTTTTTGTCAGAGACTTTAGCAAATTAGTTCTGAAGTTGGGCTATGGAAACAGCCTGGTTCAAACCTGGTTCAAACTCTCCTTACTGACCACAAGACTGGCAGTTCCCTAAACTTTATGTGCCAAGTTTATTCAAATGTAAATCAAGGCAAGCAATAGCACCTTGTTTTATAGGATTATTTTGAAAAGTAAATTAGTTGCTATAGGTAAAATATTAAGAGCCATTCTAGAACATGTGCTCAATAAATGTGAGTAGGATAATAATGTGATGATAGAGGTAGGATTTTCTCTGAAATTTCTATACTTTGTTATTATATAATCATTCCATTTTATTAGACATTTTTCTTTATTGTTTTCTCAAAATGGCATCATTTAGAAATATTTTTATGATTCAGCTATTCACATTGTCATTTTTTAAAAAGAAGAGACAATTTGATTCCTGCATTAGTTATTTATAGTTATTATACTAAGTTTATTTTCATGTGGCTACTGAGTAGATTTTTCTTCCCCAGTTTCTGTAAGTTTCCTCTAGTTAGTGCATTTCTATAATACTATTCTCTATATTTCTTTTATTTTTATTTTCTTATACATTTTCTGGAGAAAAAGATTAATAAAATACTATCAGTTATAAAATAAGATGGATTTTATACAGCATGGAAGATTAACTTACAAGACTATTTTCATGACTTTTGAAAGATTATTTCACATAGAACTTAATTATATTTATTTTTTTTTAATCCTTCTTCTTACATGGTGAATCATAAATGCCAGATTCAAAGTTTCTCTCAGGAAGAATTATTTTTAGGTCAACCTTAAGAGTGGGATGGGGGTGTTGGTGCGAGAAGAAACTTCCAATTATGTTCCACACCCTTAATTAATGACTTACAATAATCTGGACTCTGGGTGTAGAAGGAAACTATAAAGGAAATTGAAACGTGATAAGCCTATGGCTTAAATCTGTTTTTTGTTTTTTGGTATTGCTGAATGTTAAAAGTAAACATACCTATTCATAGTTTCCTAATAGTCAAAAATTTCTTTCATTTTCTGTTTGGCCCTCTTTAAAAAAAAAAAAAAAAGGATCTGAGAAAAACAGACAGCTGAAAAGCAGTAAGCAGTAGAGGAGGTGTCTGAGATCTTCCTTGTGTTTGCTAATAGAGCCTGTGGGGATAGGTTTGTCCATGGACGAGCTTCTCTCCTGTCTACACGAGCTGTCCTACTTTCAGTCCACTGGAGCTCTCTGGCCTCCCCACATCCTGGAAGTTATAGGCTTGAGGAGTTAGTTTCTTTTTTGGTTGATGTCACTTAATTTAATTCTCACCAATCCCTTTCTTACAAAAAGCTTTGCTGAAGATTGGTAGGATGAGTAGAAAAGGCTCTCTTGAGTCATATGGATAATATTGAAAAATGACAGAAAAAGAAGAAAGAAATACAGTACTTTAAAAATACAAGGTAGTTGGCTTGGAAGCTGTGCAGAGTTGAATAAAAAACTAAATACCATAAAACTAAATTATTTGAATAAAAGAATAAAAAGAAAATTCGTTAGTCTACATAGCATATTTTGACCTTTCAGGGTTTGTTAATATTGTTCATCATATGATATTTGGTTAGAAAGATGCTGGTTGCAAAATATGACTTGGCCCATGGTGTGGTAAAAGTAGCCTGGTGTGCCATATGTACAGCGTGACTTGCATATGCTGTGGCAGTGTAGGGTGGTAACTGTTGGGAGCTTTTTACAAACAGAATCTTATTTCCTCTGCTTTCTAGATTTTCACCTGATGGAAGATTAATTGTATCATGCAGTGAGGATAAAACTATTAAAATATGGGATACCACAAATAAGCAGTGTGTTAATAACCTCTCAGATTCTGTAGGGTAAGTCTCATCCTTTGTACATGTTTGTATGGATCAGTTTGCTAAGGAGACATGTCATTGTAGCATTTTTAAAAAGAAATGAGGATAGGGAAGGGAAGTATAGAAGCTCATTAGATTAGACAAAGGAGAATAAAGGGAAGGGAGGAGTAATAGGAATAGGAAAGATAATAGAATTAATTGGACATAAYGTTTCTATACTCATATGAATACACAACCAGTGAAACTCCACATTATGTTCAGCCACAAGAATGGGATCAAAATTGTAATGGGTTGCACCCCATCATGTACGTATAATATGTCAAAATATGCCCTACTTCATGTATATCTAAAAACAACAAATAAAAAAAAGAAATCAAAATATTGGTCCATCTTAATCTTTCCTCTTAGATTTGCAAATTTTGTGGACTTTAATCCTAATGGTACATGCATAGCTTCAGCAGGTTCTGATCATAGTGTAAGGATCTGGGATATCAGAGTGAACAAGTTACTCCAGCATTATCAAGGTAAGTCAGCTAACAAAAGCATGCAGGTTCTGAATGCTGCACTGGGAAGCACCCATTCCCCTCTTTGGTGTAGTTTGGCTCTCTACATGGGCGTCAGGGGCTGCCTTTGAATTGGCCATAAACTGTGTAGTAGCTCCCATCAATAGTAGAAGCAAGAGGGAAGAGGGAGGTAAAGGGATTTTAAAAAATAATATTAGGGCTATTTAAAAAGAAGAAGTTACTGTGGGGTTTTCAAACTCTAGTTAGCTACTTTGTGTGAGAAGTCAGGTATAGAAACTGACATTGAATTCTGAATCTCAAAAGAGTTATATGAGTCCAACTAGATATCATAACTGGTAGAAAGCAATTTCCTATTGTGCCTATGTATTGAAACTAAAAGAGAAGTGAGTGAGTTTTCTTGGCTTATATTAGAATTATGTAAATCCACAATGTTATTGCACCTGAGTATAATAATAGCTATTGCTTACTCATTGTTCACTATGTAGCAGACACTGTGCTAAGTCCTCAGTATTCCTAATAGGTATCATATTTCCTCCATTTTAAAGATAAGGAAATTGAGTCTTAAAGACAGTAACTTTCTTAAATAATTGCTATAACTGTCTTAGGTCTTTCTGCTGACAAAGTGCAAGGAAGAACCAAGTTTTGATCACTGCATTGTACTGCCTCCTATTGGAAGGATGGTATCTAGAAATGAATTCTCAGACTCAGTGGCAGGATTTTGCCTTTCACATATATCTCTACACTCTGTACCCTTAATCCCAAACCCCTAATTGGTTATTAAATTTAATCTGAGGCTAGGTTATATACCTTATATGAGCTGTTTGCAATTAATTCTTAATTATATAGGTGATATAGCCAAAGACTTTACAGTTATGTGGTCAATAARATTATCTTTATAACTCACTTCTCTTTTAGTTTCAATACATAGGCACGGTAGGAAATCGTTTTCTACCAGTTATGATATCTAGTTGGACTCATATAACTCTTTTGAGATTCAGAATTCAATGTCAATTTCTATACCTGACTTCTCACACAAAGTTATTCTGTCTCAACTGGAAGCTTAATGTTGGGTATGGTCAAAATATTTATCTTAGGTATAAAAAATGTTGGTGTTATGGGAAAATGGCCTGTAATTGATTCTTGTTTTCAAACTAAAATTGATATAAGGTAAAAAGGTCCTTCTTTTGCCTTGTAACATACATATAATTATGTATGTTATAGTCCATATGTATAATTATTATAAGTAAAAATAAATTGTATTGAAATGCAACTATGAAGTTATTAAAGATCATATGACATAATAAAAAATAATTGTTAACTGAATTTTTGCTTTGATTTTCTACAAATTAGTTCACAGCTGTGGAGTTAATAGTATATCATTCCATCCTTCGGGTAACTATCTGATCACTGCCTCTTCAGATGGTACACTTAAGATTCTGGATCTCTTAGAAGGAAGACTCATATATACACTTCAAGGACATACGGTATTATTAAGATTTTTGCTTTTTAAATAATATGTATTTTAAAATCTTGATCCATTTTATTATATGCCTTTATTGTTTTTCTAGGTTGTAGCATACTTTGCCATTATCACCAAACCAAAAAAAAAAAAAAATTTATTTCCAAGACTATGTTTTTTTGCTCTAGAAATAACTCTTAGAAACACCATTTATTGTAATTCTTGTCAAAATCAATATCTTTCAATGACCATTAAGTAAATGGCACTGTCCTCATCAGAATGTAGCACAGTGTGATTAGTTAAATGGTGGTTAGTTAAATGGTGGTGGGTAAGTTTATTTATTACTTCTGATCTTTCTATCATGTGGAGCCTTTTTCACTAGCTTTAATAGCCTCCCTTGCTTCCTCTGATTGGTGAGTTTAGCAGGAGAACCCTGGTAAGGTAGCCCAGCATTTTCACTCTCCAGCCTTAGTAGTGAGCCTGACTTCACTGTTTTTCTGTGATACTTCTTAGGAGAGAGTTGTCCTTATCCAGTGTTGCCTGTGACTCAGTCAAACCTGGATCATTGTGGGCATCAGTTCTAGAAAGCCTTGCATAAAAGCCACATTCTCTTTCTATAAGCTTTTGTTAGGTTTTTTTTTTTCTTTCCTTTTTAAAAAGGTAATATTTTTCCTCCCATGTGCCTCATTTATTTCTTATTTCTCAATGTGCTTAGAACCAAGTAGGGAAGAGGAATTAAGGATTTTTAGAAGTATATAAAGTATTCCTCCTTTATAGGTAAATATTCAGACTTCTCTGATTTTTTAATAACATTCTCTCTCTCTTTTTTTTTTTATTATACTAGATACTTCCTTTTAACCAAGTATAGGCTGTTTAGGTAAAAAAAAATAGAGTGAACTTTATGGGGTTCTTTCCACCATTGTATTTCCTGCCTTGCTTTGCTTTATCGTTTGTTCTGTTAAGGGGAAGCATAAGTAGACTAACCAGCTCAGATATATGCATACATATAAACTTAAGCTGAATAAACACAACCCATAAAAGTGGACAAGGACTTAAATATTCATGAAAGAAGTACAAAATAACTAAAAAGATAAACTATTTAAGAGAAAAACACTATACATGAAGATGGAATTTTTCATAATCTGAAGATGAGGATGTTGATGAAGCTTTAATATTCTTAAGTCTGGATTGGTCTATTGAAAAATACCAGATGTTTTTTCCCCAAACTTGTCTTATATAGGTTAAAGGCATATTAAAATGAACAGAACATATTAATATTTGAGAGGAGAAAATAATCCCTCTTATCTTGACTGAAGACTGACCTGGAGGCCATGCATCTGACGGCTATGCTGAATGCGGTGCTGAATGCATCCCTCACTTGTGAATCCCTTATTCCTCACCTAGGTGGTGGCAGTAACTGCCACACTGGCTTCCAGTCATTCACTCTTGCTCCAGTTCTTCATTATCACAGTTGTGCTATTGATTTTCAGAGTCACATCTCTCCTATCTATGCCCTGCTTTTAGTAGCTCACAACTGCCTACTTCAGAAGGGAGAACTCATTTCCCATTGTGTTCAGGAAATGACCTTTGTTTATGTAGGCTCCTTCCCATCCCCTACAGATTTATCATTCAATTTCTGCTAAGTACTCAGTTAGTTGACTACAGAATATAAAGGCAGAAGATCTTAGCAGAAATTCTGATTAACTTACACATGTACAAACTTGTCTTTAAAGGAGATTATTTTTTTTATTAATTGTTAGCATTCCTTTTTTGTTTAGTATTATTTAATTGGGTTTTAATTGAGTTGGTTCTTTGTCTTTCCTCTGTAAGTATTAGTTGCTAGAAACTAGATATGTTCTGTCAGACTTACTGCATAAGTACTCTATATAAATTGTGATGAAAAATTGGTACTCACAGTCTTCTTTGCCATCAGGAAGCATTACCAGTGTTTCTTTTGTCTCCCTTTATGTCTCAGGGACCTGTATTTACTGTTTCATTTTCCAGAAGTGGAGAGCAATTTACATCAGGAGGTGCAGACACACAGGTTTGTACATCTTTCCGATCTCTCTTTGATGGGATAGAGTAATTTGATTTGAATAAAGCAATCTTTGACCTCTGTTGGGATTTTTATGGCCAGCTAGTTTGTGTATGTTAAGATGATTAGCCATGGGTTTATATTTCAATTTAGTGACAGGAAGTCTGCTATCTCATAGCTGAAACAGTTCCAATTATAATAGTTTTTGGAATTCAGCAGTTATTTTCTTTTGCTGATTTCACACTTAATTATGCATGTAACTGACACGGAATGTGTAGTTTTATGGTATAGTGCTTTTGCTTGGATTATTTCCAAATTTTTTTTTTTTTTAAAGAGAGAGAGAGGAGAGAGGGGAGAGAGAGAGAGAATTTTTAATATTTATTTTTTAGTTCTCGGCGGACACAACATCTTTGTTGGTATGTGGTGCTGAGGATCGAACCCGGGCCGCACGCATGCCAGGCGAGTGCGCTACCGCTTGAGCCACATCCCCAGGCCCCCCAAATCTTTTTCTATATATCTTGTTTTTGTGGAAAACAAATGTTAAGCTTCTTGAGGGTGATAAGTATTAATCATTTATGAAGCTTATTTGCATTTATTTGAAATGGCCAAAATTATTTATAGTCAGATTTATTAAATAAAGTAGATGACCTAATCAAAAGCATGGTTTGGACTTTTGGGAAAACAAGAGAATTTTAAGTTAATATAATATTATCTTATTATGAATTTTAAGGCAGACATGAAAGCAACTTGAAATACTAAATTTCTCTCCCCACTATGTCTAAAAAAGTATGGAGAAACAGTAACACTGCTGAAATATACATGCATGTGTATGTGTGTATGGAGATAGATATATATCCTTTTTGACTAATTTGAGGGACAATTCTGTATATTTGGCTTCTTATAAATAAGTCATTTATGTTGTTTATACATTGCAAACAAATAACTACCAACATTATTGACTTTTTTATAGGTCTTATTGTGGAGGACTAACTTTGATGAATTGCATTGTAAAGATATTAATAAAAGAAATCTCAAAAGACTGCATTTTGATTCACCACCACACCTGCTTGATATTTACCCAAGAACACCACATACTCATGAAAGAAAATTAGAGACTGTTGAAGTGAGTATTTTGTGCATATTTGTCCTACAGTTTGGAGGTTTTACTCAAGTAGGTGTTTGAAATTATATTTAGTTATATAAAACCTAGTCCTGCCCTAAAATAGCACCACTTTGAGAAAGTCTATTGTTTTCACTAATAAAACTATATGCATGTGGTAGTGTATAATAATGTGAAAGCCTTTTTTATTCACTTCTTGAAGGCCTTGAAATAAAGCTAAAAATTGTGTGACAATAATATAAGAAATGAAATCTAAGGCCTCAGGTGACTGAGTGGTCTGGCTGGCCTCATATTCAAGACATTTTTAGGGAGGTCATCATATGAAGTATGTCAAGGGACTGGGAATAAAGGGTACAAATTTTCATTACAGTTGTTGAAATAGGTATCTTAAAACCCTTCTGTAGTTAAAAAAAAAAAAAAAGAAAGAAAGAAAGAAGGAAAGAAAGAAAAGAAAATCTTATGACCAGAAAAAGAAGAGAGTTAAGCATAAGCCTAATAACTAAAACCATTTTATTACTTGCCTTCATATATTTTTGGATATGTAATTATTTAACTCTAGTTTTGTGTTGTTTGTTTTGTTTTTCTCAGTACTGGGGGTTGAAATCAGGGCCTTGCACATGCTAGGCAAACMCTCTACCTGCCACTGAACTTCACCTGATCCCTTTACCTTAGTTTTGTTTATGTGTTCCCTTAGGTCATATAGATTTACATATGCTCTCATCAAAGAGAAATTCTTCGCTGGATATTTAGCTGGTGTTAGCCTGCTGATTGCCATTTTGTATAATTCTTCTTAATCTCTTTTCTTTTCCAAGAGCTAGTATCAGAAATCACTATTGCCTGTTTATCTTTTTATCTGATTCTTTTTCTTTTTTTAAACCATTTAAGAGATTTTCTTTGCATTTAGAGTGGGTATTTTGAGTTCTGAAACTTGTTCCTGAGTGGCAATACACAGTAGCCTGTCACTATTTCAGGCTTTGTTCTCAGCTCTGTGGTCTTCCACATCAATTTCTTCTCCCTCCTCCTCTTCTTCCTCTTCCTCTTTCTCCTCTTCCTCTCTTCCTCCTCCTCCTCCTTCTCTTCCTCCTCCTTCTCCCTTTTATCCTCCTCCTCCTTCTCCTCCTTCTTCTTCCCTCCTCCTTCTCCTCCTCTTCTACTTCTTCCTCTTTCTTTCTTCCTCCTCTTCTTCCTCCTCCTCATCCTTCTTCTCTTTCTCCTTCTCTTCCTCCTCCTCCTTCCCTCTTCCCCCTCCTTCTCCTCTTCTTTTTATTTTTAATATTTTTAAATTGTAGATGGACATAATAACTTTATTTTATTCATCTATTTTTATGAGGTACTGAGGATCAAACCCAGTGCCTCACTTGTGCTATGTAGGCACTCTACCACTGAGCCACAACCCCAGTCTCATCAATTACTTTCTTAAATTTTGATTTCCTTAGTCTTGATCCTCTCTGTTACCTCAGGCATTTCTGTTGGCCTCAGTTGTACAAGTGTATATATGTTTTTTTCTTTCATAATTTTTTAAACTATTTTTTAAATTTTGTTTAATCCATTTATATCTTTGGATTTCTGTCATAATTTTTCCTTGATTGTATTGATTTTCAATTATTTGCTATAATTTTCTTCCTCTTTTTTTTCTGACAGTCTTTCTGTTCTTCTAAAGAATTAGCCATTGTGCTTCATTACTTCTTCTTTTTTTTAAAGAGAGAGACAGAGACAGAATTTTTAAATATTTATTTATTTATTTTTAGTTTTTGGTGGACACAATATCTTTATTTTATTTTTTATGTGGTGCTGAGGATCAAACCCAGCACCCTGCGTATGCCAGGCAAGCGTGCTACCGCTTGAGCCACATCCCCAGCCCTTCATTACTTCTTTATGCTACTTCTTATATCATTTTTTCTTCTGTTTTTTGAAAGAAAGAATATAATTTGCTTATTGTTCATCTCATTTTTTATTCAATGTCTTCAGCTGTAGGTATGTTTATTGATCCCTGCAATTACATATGTTTATATAAAATAAAGGTGAGCTATATTTTAATTTAACTTGAGTTTCCTTATGTTACTAAGGCTGATTGTATTGACTTTTGATATCTTAGCATTTCTGTGGCTTGGCTGGGCATGATCAGGAAAGAGATACCCTATTCCCCTATCATCTACTTAGCCACCTCACCAGAGTAGTGAGGCCAGGCCTAGATCTCCTCACTCCTATTCAGTATTTTCATGACACAGTGCTATCTCAACATAGAGATGCAAGCCATTTTCTCTGTGATTTACTGGCAGCCCATGTCCACTTAAGAAAGCTAGACTTTCTTTAAAATGTCAGTAAGTTGTCTGAGTAGCTCTGACCTGACTGTACAGCCAGAAAGCTGAAAAATCCACCTGGGTTGTTTAGTATTTCGAGGTCAGGATGACCCAGGCCACGCAAAGCCTCTCTCAACTGTATTTTTCAAATGTAAACTTAAAAATTCTATTAAAAACTGACTTTTCATTCTGGAATTAGAGTTCACTTGTACTACAGAAAGAGCATTGTGATTGAGGGGTTTTGTTATTGTTCTTTTTGTTTTACCTTAAGGAAGTCAACCTTATATATACAGTTTAAATTATCTTCACACTCTCATTACTGCTTGAATTTAAGTATATGGCTTAGTTTTGTAAATCCTATGATATGACTTGCCAAGGAAATAGTAAGAGTCTGCATATGAACATCTAATTGTTCAGGGTTTTTTGTTTGTGTTTGTGTTTTTGATAAAAATTTCATAATAAAGCAGAGGATAATAATTATATAATTATATATATATTATATAATTATAATATTATGATAAAATTATTAATTGCTAAATTTTTTTCTTTTACTTTGTGGTTTTCTATTATTTATTTTCCTTTTCGCTGTGTGTGTGCGGATAGGGGGTTGGGGGAATGGTACTGGGGATTGAACCCAGGGCAGTCTGCCCTGAGCCCATCCAAAGCCTTTTTAAAATTTTATTTTATTTTATTTTTGAAATAGGGTCTCAAGCCTTCTGAGTAGCTAAGATTACAGGCATGCACTACTGCCCAACTCAAATTRTTTTTTTAAACACTTTACTTCAAATTAAGGCATATGGAAATCTCCAGAGCCAAAAATCTATTTAATTTAAAACTTTCACTTAGAATGAAAGAGTATGAATCAGGATAGAAACTGTGCAGTGTCAATTTATGATTAATAAACTATAGTGCTTGTAGAAGGTCAMGGTTTTTACTATGAGGTGCTTCCTCTTTTCATGTGATTTAATTTTTTTAAATTTTATTTTTTAGTTGCAGTTGGACACGACATCTTTATTTCACTTATTTATTTTTATGTGGTGCTGAGGATCGAACCCAGGGTCTGATTTAATTTTTTTGAGCAATTCCAATTTCAAATGGTTAGACCAAATTGTATTTTCATTGGTAAACATCTTACTATTTACACTAGGTGGCAGTAGATAGAAGAGAATAAAATGTCTGAAAGCAATCTCTGGACAACTGAACTAAGACTGAAAAGAAAATAAGTCACCCCCAGGTTACTTGTCTTTGCCTTCGATGCAGACTCAGTTTACAGCTGGAGGCTTGGTTGCTTTCTGCTTTATGGAACAGCCAGAAAGAAGCAGAGTGCCGGCTGGCTGGACAGTAGTCCCTCATGCTCATCCTACACAGATTTTTCCCTCCTTTACTGTAACAAGGCAATTACTGGACACATGCAACTCCATGCCTAGCACCGTTTGGCTGGATAATTATAAAATGTTCTGTTTCTGAAACGACATGTATACCCATCAAGACTGATAAGTGTCTTAAAAATCATTCTAGTCTTCTAACTGCCAGCTCAGCCTTCCTTGCAGCAGTGTTGGACTACCACAGTAGTGTCTCCACTGCTACACCAACTTATTCTTTATATTCTACACATCYCTCCCAGATTAACCTTTCTAAAGTATACTTTAGATATCAACTTTTTCTGCTTTGCCAAATCCCTTCACCCTTTATAATTTGACCCTTGCCAACCTCTCTAATTGTCTCTTTTTTCTACCCCGTGCAAAAAGTACTGTCAGCTTTCTGCCACTGTGCTGAGAAATGCTCTTTAACTCATCTCTCTGGTTTTGTCTTCTAAGCCTTTTTAAGGCCGCATTCAGCCGCATTTCCTCCATCGGAAGCAGCTCTCACTGTCTAAGCACTTGGGCAACAGATTCTTCTGGGAGGTTCTTTAGTGCCTTCCTGTTAGGACCATTCATTTGACATAAAGTTCTGCATCTGTCTTTTCCTTTGTTTATTTCTTTGTATTAATGTTGTTTGAATTTTTGTTTGTTTTTGGTCTGTTTGGATTTTGAAATAACTTTCCTCAAAGGTAGTCATCATTGTAGGTAATCATTCCCTTGTTTTTCTTTGTGTTTTTTTCTATATATGTTTAAAATATGTTATTCACCTATAAATGTTTTTGGACTTCATATCGATGAAAGCATATTGAATATTTATTTCTGTAACTTGCCTTTTCATTTAATATTAAGATTTTTAGATTTATATATATGAATTCTGAATTTATATTTTCAGATGTTGTACAGAGTTTTTTTCATTCATTTTTTGCTGTGTAGTCTTGCAGTTAGTTTGCCACAATAGTAATCCCCATAATCTATTTTACTATTAACAGACATTTGAGGTATTTCTAGTTTTTTGGGTTTAAGACATTTAAACAATATTAAAAACAAAGTTGATATCATTGAATTTTCTAGTTTTTGTAATCTGATAGGTGTTAACTGGTATTTTCCTTTAATTTTATTTTTCTTTAATTTTCTCATTACTAATATTTCTGAGCATCTCTTCATATGCTGATTAACTGTTACATTTTTACTTCGATATTTTTTCTTAGGGTATAGCCATTTTTCACATTGATTTGTTTGTAGATTTGTGTATTTTGGATATTTATCCTTTTTCCATTTTAGGCATCATAATATCTCCTCCTTTATTATCTGATTGTTAACTTTGTGGTGTCCATTGTTAAGCAGAAATCCTGATTTTTTTATATAACCACATCCATTTTTTTCTTTATGGTTTTGCTTTTTCAGTTTTTAAGATGATTTTCTCAGCCTGTCTTTACAAAAATATTTTTTTACTTGTTTTATAGCTTTAGCATAACAATTAGTTTTCTGATTTATTCACTGCCTGCCTTTATAGTAGTATTACTTAGGGATTCATACAGTGACCTGTTTTTCTCAAGTATAAATCCTCTGTCCTCTCTTATATTCCCAATTGTCTCTCACTAAATTTATTTCCCATATATATTTCTAAACTCTTTATAGCATAGCTTTGTATTTATTTGACTCTTCTTTAATGTCAATATAAGTTTTATTCATTTTTCCCCCATAAGGTCTTATATTTTTGAATATTTATTCTGATATATTTTAAAATGTTTATGTTATCATAAATGGTGTCTTTTTAAATGTCATGTTTTCTAATTGTATGCTTGAATGCAGAAATGCAGCTGATCTTTGTATCATGATTTGGGGACTAGTGGTTTTGTAAAATTCTCTTACTAGTTTCAATGATTTAGCAATAGATTCTTTTGGGATTTCTTCCTAGGTAGTAATTTTATATATCAGTGAAAATTTATTTAATCTTTTAAAATTCTTATATCTTAATATTTTATTTCATTTCTTATCATAATGAACAGACTAGGATTTTTTCTGCATCTTTTTGAGGTGGGTCATTTTATTTTACTTTTAATATTCCCTTATAGGTGAATTACATTGATTTCTAATGTAAAAATTACCTTGTGTTCCTGAGATAAATTCAACTTTTTAATAGTCTTTTTTTAATGGATAGATTTGGTAGACTACTATTTTACAAACGTTGTATGTATCCAGTTTCTGTACAAATAGCATCCAGTTTCTTGTGGTATCAAAAAAATTCATATTAACTTTTTTATGTATATGCACAGATTAATCCAAAGCTTGAGGTAATCGATTTGCAGATTTCTACTCCCCCTGTTGTGGACGTCCTTTCTTTTGATTCTACCACAGTAAGTTTTTTGTTTATTTGTCTGTTTGTTTTACAGTTAAGTGGAATTTAATCATTTGACACAATCTGTATCCTTAAAAAGTATATAAGGGAGAGGATAAAATGTGGGCTAAGTAGCCTAACATTTTAACCTAGAACAGTTTTGTACAAAAAGTCACATGTACAATGTATCTCAACAGCCACAAGGGGGAGAAGTGCCAATTTTCAGAATAGCTTTTACCTCAAAGGCCTTGTGCTCTGTCTAGTTGGTTACCTATTAAGGAACCATGCAGTTACTTATTACTGCATAGTAACAGGTACCTGCATAGTTACCTATTAAGGTGACATTTCACTTGCTGTGGCAGAACATATCCCCCACTTTGTTTCCAGATGTGCTAAACTTACTTCTAGACTTTTCCTTAGAAGCTATAGGAATAGCAGTCATTTTGTTTTATTAATCTCTCGTTGTATTATCCAGAAACTAAATATATCTAATTCTTGGAACTTATTCATTTTGTCCAAAGGCTCCAAAGATTGAAAGTTTGAGCCTTTCAATTTAGAAGTCAGCTTAATCTTTTTGAGGCAAATTATTGCCACAGTCAATCCTGCTAGTTAGTACAAAACTGGTGTTAAGAACAAATGGGAAAAGCAGCATGGCCTTTGGTGACACTGCTGTTATGATGTCAATGTTGTTAAATATTTGGGATAAATTTTCAGTGTGTGGCCAAAAGAGGAAACAAGACTAAACAAGTAAACAAACAGAAATTCCTGACACTATAGCATGGCAAACTCTCCAGTAGATCTCAAGAATGGTCATTTCTGTAGAGGAATTCTTTGGATTACCAATCCATTTTATAGACTCTATCTTATACCAGAAAACATTCTAATCATTCAAGGGTCTTCTAAGTACTCTTTCAGCTTTGCAGGTCCTCAGGACCCGAGGAATGCAGATGTTCTTGATAGGCAGTGTGCTAGGGAGGTGGGCAAAACTGCCACCCGGAAATAAACAGTGCCAAAGTCAACTAGTCTACATCTTAGTACCCTAACTCAGGGAATGTGGTATATGTGAGACTTTGAGAAGACTAGTTTGAATAACAAGCACATGACAAGTTTAGAAGTTCTCTTATAAAACAGAGTGTGATTATCCACAGAAGGGATAATATTACCGTACATATGTGAATTTCACTGAAAGACACATAAATTGACAAGTGAGATTAATTTTTTAAATGTTTGCCTTCCCATTAATGTACTAGAAGTAATTCTTGATCTGTAGTGTTCTGTATCCATTGACTGTTTTTCTTTTGCTTCTGAAAAACAAATCAGACATATCTATAAAAGAATTTTTTTTTTTCTGCTTTCACATGGAGCACAATTGTACTAAATATTTTTGGCATAAACTTGGTATGTGATTTAATTTAAAAATCCAGAGAAATATTGGAAACCAAAAAAACAAACAACAATAAAAACAGTGTCTATAGATAGTTTTTGTTGTTGTGATTACTATTTCTTTTGAGGGTTTGTTTGGTTTTTGTAGACTGGAAAATTTTCCTTAGAAGTTCATTTCATTAAGATAGGACATAAAAAGGTAATCTTTAGCTGGACCTGGAGGCACACACCTGTGATCCCCAGCTACTCAGGAGGCCGAGGCAGGAGGATTACAAAATCAAGGCCAGACTGGGTGACTTAGCAAGATCCTGTCTCAAAATAAAAGATAAAATGAGTAGGAATGTAGCTGGGTGGCAGAGTATGTCTAGAAAATACAGGGTCCTGGGTTCAATCCCAGGACACCCCCCCCCACACACACACACACAAATTATACTGGGGCATTTAGCATTAGCATTGATTTGACTTCATGGAATATCCCAGGCTCCTTCTTTATTCTCTCCCAAAATGGATGAAAATGAAGTAGTTTTGTTTTTTTATTTTTTGTTTATTTTTTATGCTGCTGGGGATTAAGCACACAGCTACAATCCTGGCCCAAGAGAAGTTGTGGCGGTTCTTTTTTAACTTACTGTAAATTATTTGGAAATACTCTAGGACTATTGCAATTTGTTAGCTTTGGGTAAATTGTTTTCTAAGTTTTGATGTATTAATTTTAATAGTTTGTCATACAAATGAGCAAAATGAAGTTGATAATCTTACTCTTCCTTTGATTGTCAAAGCACCAGACTGTTCTTAAAGAGCTGACACAGTGTTCTTATCTCTATCCCGGCAGCTGTGCAGAGTGTGAATGTAATGTATATACTTTTCTTTAGAATTAGGAATAGTATTTCAGGTCCAATTGATTATTTATAATACATTGGAGTCCTACATTATAGAATGAAAAATTCAATGATCTACAATGCATTGTTATTCCATTATCAAAATAAAAACGTACTGCATGAAGACATTACCTGAGATGCTAAGGAAAGTGTTAAGATGGTTGCCTGAACTCAAGAAGCATGCAACCTAGCCAGGTAGAAATAATCATGTAGGAAATAAGTCACTTTCAAGACACTTGGTGCCAACAGTACATGATTGTCAGAGAATGATTGCTGTGGGAGTATTCAGAAGAGGTCATTATTGGACTAGAGGAAATGGGAGGACTTTTATAGAAGAAAATTGTGGTAAGTCCCTGACCTGACTCATTCATTAAAAGTAGATGCCTCCAAAGAAAATGAAAATATGTACCATGGTCATAAAGGTGTGTCAGTCCAGTTTGGGGTCTTTATGTTGCTACCTCAACAAATGGCAGATGTGGTAAAACCCAGGAAGGATACCCATTCATGTACATCTACACTTATCAATAAATATTTATTAAGTAACAGTTCTGTTCTTTAAAGAAAGGAACAAAACAAAGATACCTGCCCTAGAGTTCTAGTCAGGAAAGAAGCAGTTTACTAATCAAAAAATAAATAAACAAACAAACTTTATAATATAGTGGACCAGAAAAACATAAAGGTAAAAAACGTACTAAAGGCAGATGGGAAGAGGACTGCAGTTTCAGAAGCATGGGCAGGCCAGGATGTATATGACAGGTGACATTTAAGTAAAGAACTACAGGCATGAAGAGAGTGAGTAGAGTGGGTATCTGGGAACAGCACTCCAGGTGAGCGGGAACAATGATAGAAGGCCAGACCTAGAGTGATACAGGAGCTACCAGAGGGTTTTCTGTAGAAGAGAAACATATTTGACTTATACCTTAACAGGTTCACTATGGCTGCTGTGTGAGAACAGGAGGCTGCAGGTGGTGATGGAGGGATAGGTGACTCATGAAGAAGTTAATAGAATAATCAGACAAGAAGCCAAAGCAGCTTGACCCAGAGTGGTTGCAGAGAGGAGGTGGTGATAAAGGATCTGATTCGGGATATATTTTGAAGGCAGAGCCAAGAGGATTTCCTGACAGATTGGTTGTCGGTTGTGGGATTCCCTATCTCCTTTCCGCAAGGACAGCAAGGTGTAGCCCTAAGTAATCTCAGGGTAGCTGAGAATATCTCCTGGCTCTGCTTCGTTTTGGCAAAGAGGCTGCTGGGAGAGAAAGAATCGTGGTTTTCCTGTCCTCAGTTGTAGGATCAGGAAAAGCAATCAACTAAGTCGGTGCAAGAGACATTCTGCCTTTTCCGTGACTTCGGGATATACACCCCTTCCTAAATGACATTTAGATTTACATTTTTCAGCAAAATTTCTATTTTGGAAAGATTTTGGCAGTGGCCTATTTTTTAGGGAGAAAAGGTCATTCACTTTCATGGAGATCATTGTGTGGTATATGCTGCCTGAAAAATATTAATGTATCGACAAACTGTATGGACACACAAAGAGCAGACTTGCAGATACAGAGAGAATCCGTCCATGGATGTTGTGGCAACAGTGCATCCTGGTTACCAGACAACATTGCGTAACTAGTTCAGTTATTTCAGTTCCTAACTGCTTATGTAAGCAAAGATTTGGAAATACTTACTTGAAAGAACACAGTGTATGCAAACTTAAATGTCTCAAAACTAAAATTTATAACTTTAAAAGTATAAAATGGCATATGCAATTTATCGTCCCTAGATTTCCCCTTTATTTTTCTAGGAAAGTTCATAAAAATCATGCTATACAAACCTCCTGAATTCTATACTTTTCCATATGCTAACTTTCCTGAATTTACATAGAGACATTTAAATTTGAGGTAGATAAGATTCTTTTTAAAGTTTTTAAACATTGTAACAGCTTATAAGGCTACACTGATTTATAAATTTAGTGCACAATGAATTCTAAAACTAAGTATGTTTGTAACTCTGTGGCCACTTAGTAAGCTTTGGGAAACAGGCATTTTTATGGTATCTTCAAGCATTGGGTCAGTGGTCCTGTACTATCTTTCTCCTGCCCCTGTTACTGTGTGGGTTAGGCATTTGTAAGATCCAGGCCTTTGGACTCACTAGTTGGTGCCTCCCTCAATTTATCCTCTTTCACTAAGGGAATGTTAGTTTTATAACTTCAAATGATAGTAAATATGCCATTAATTTTTTATGCATTAGTTCAAAAAGTTAAATGTTATGTACTAAGATACTTGACGGGATAAAGGAATTCTTAGAAGATTTAAGAAATAGTCTAAAAATATGGCCTTTTGAAATTAAAAGATATGAAGTAATTGTCAAAGGCATTTAAAAATTAGAATATACATGACATTAACAGAAGTAAGTAAGGAAAAATACATTTCATAGCTCTCCTGCCATTTGGAAATAGAAAACACATTTAATATTTCCTCAGGTACAATCTTTAAAATAGATGAAATAAAATATTAGGGATGGGTTAGATCCTTGCTTTTGAAGCACATATATTATAAAAACTACCAACAGTTGTGAATGCAAGGCTGACCTTTAAARAAAAAAACATGCTTGAAATTTCAACAATAACAACTAAAATTGTCAAATTCATTAAAGGAACATGGCACCTTTTTTCAAAGAGATGTGTGTAGCTGAGGCTAGCTGTAAAATTTATAAAGTTAGTGATACCGAAACAGAAATAAGCAATGGATCAGAGGCTTTCTTTTTTTTCCTC